CAAGGTTAGTGCTCTATCACTTGATCCATAGCCCCACTTCCAGACTTTCCTGCTTCGAACTGTGATTCTCAGGATCTCCATCTCCCATAGCTAGGATTGTAGGTGTGAACCACCAATAACCAGCAAGGGTATGTGTCAGATAAATGAGCTGTTTGGGGAATTCTTTGTAACTTGTTCCCTTCTGAATGCTGTAGTTTCATTTAGTGGTCTTCTTTGCCATTTATTATTGCAGAAACCTGAAGTAAACCTTTTATTTTTGTGGGCAACCTACTTCCTTCCCACTATGGGTTTTAGAATATTATCATTTTTGAAAAACAAATGTTGTGGGTGTGGCTCAGTACTAGAACAAAGAAGGGGAGGGGGCAAGAAATGGAAGGAAAAGAGGAAGAGAGAAGAAAGAAGGAAATAAAAGAAAAAACGTGCTTAAAAATGTGAGGACCTAGGTTTGGTCTCCAGCACCATTGCAACAACTCTAAGATGCATCTAAATATGGTTGCTAGTTCGATCAGGAGCAAATTGAGGTTAATTCACACATCTCCCCCACCTCACCCAAGTCAGGAAGAATTGAGGTAGGTCTCAGAAGTAGAGGGGACTAATGTGACTTCAGTAGCTAGTGACTTGTCTCTTGCTCTACATGCTTCCCTCCTAAATCTATTCCCTTCTTTCTCTACTGGCTTTGTGTTAGCTTAACTTTCATTTTGACATCAACCACAGTAACCAACTTTATGTGAACTTCCAGTTCCAGCAGTCAGACTGCACTCGTAGTCATTCCCTCTTCTCCACAAAGCCAGGCATTGCAAGTCTTTCGTTACTGTCCAGCTGATGAGTCTCCGTTAGAACTGAGATCCATGTGTAGTGAAAACAGCTATGGTCAGGAGCAAAGACTGGGTACAGGGGTCAGTGATTAATCAAGTGGAGCTATTTACATCCCAAAGGATAAATGTAAGTAAGGCAGGGAAGGTAATGCTTGGCATTCTTTCAGCTGTTACCTCCGTAGTGTTGCTATATTCAATGGTCACGTGACCTTCACTAGTTTATATTAGTTTTTAATAAAAAAGTTAACAATCAGGTAACTTCAAGAAAAACAAGCCAACAGTTATAAATGTAGAGAAAAAATTATCCTGAATATCAAAGGAAAGAAAGTGTATTTAGCACCAAGAATATTATACATATAGAACATACAAATTGAAAGAAGCATCAATGGCCTAACAAAAAGCAGAGTAATTTTTTTTTATAGACCACAGTTATAAGAACAGCAGGAAGATGATCTGGGTTTACAGGAGCCAGAGTCCATAGATTTCAACATTACATAGTAGTAAAGTCAGCATAATGTGAGGGAAATACACTTATTAGAACGTGAGAAAAATAATTTATATGCTCCCTTTCAGCCAACTGGAAAAATAAAAAACTCGTTTTTTTTTTAAAGTAAATTGTAATGCTCTATTCAGTTCTGGGTAATTTACTCAGCTTTTCTGGAACTGTTTTCTTTCCTTCCTAGCACTAGAGCCAGCACTAGAGCTTGAACCTGAGGCCTAGCACTCACTCAGCTTTGTTGCTCTTTTTCCTAAGTAGTAAGAAACCCTGTGATTACATGAATTCATGAGTAGTGGCTTCATCCTTAGCAAGACTTATCCTTTCACACATCCTAAAATTAGTATTTTACATATAACTAAGAAAAATTTGACAGTATTTATAGTGCTATTTGGATCATAAAGGGCTTATCTCATTATTTCCCTTGCACCCAATTTTCTTTTAGTAATTTGTAAGGTTTAACATTTACTAACAAATGTCAAATAAATTAACATAATTTATTGAATATTTTCTTTGTATCTCAAACCAACCTTCCTTTATTTCCTTTTCCTAGTCTTCTAATTTTACTGCAAATCCAAATTAGTTATTTGTTGTAGGCTGTCTTTTGCAGTAATCATTTCAAAGGGAACATTCGCTGATTCTTCCAACATAGCGGTTTATCTTCAGAATGACTTCTTCATTCACCTCTCAAGTTTATTCCTCACTAAGATGTCAAAGGTCTAACTACAAATTTGCTGAGGCAGAAGACAATCACTGCTGGAGCTTCAATGTGGTAGTGCAGACAGTAATTCTCAAAGTATGGCTCCTTAATCAGAAGCTTCACTATCACCTTTACTTTGTTAGAAATGCAAGTTCCTGTAGCTCACTCTCAACTTGATCAAAATGGGGTACATGACCCAGCAGTGTTTTAATAAGTACTTTTGGTGATTTGAATATACCTTTGTTGGAAAAAAAAACAATACTGCTTTGAGCTTTTTTTTTTTTTTTTTTGCTTCAGTTCAAAGTAAATAGCAACCCTCTTAATAGTCGTCACAACTATTAACTATCCCCAATACTGGGTTTTAGTATGTTTTTTGTAACAAGCATACATTGGGAGTATTTAACTCCCAATGGCAGCACCCTGTGAACTTCTCAATCACAGGATTGAGATCTACTTCTTTACTAATTCAGAGCCACTATCTCTGATGATGAAAGGGTCTCATCCAGCACCTTTTTTTTTCTCAAGGTAGACTAGCCCTTCTCCTAATAGGTTTGCCCACAAGAATTTCCATCTTCTAGCATATGCAATGAACTCTCCTTTCATTTTCAATATTAATAAATTTTTAAAAACTTGAAACACTCCATCTCTTTCCATAAAAATATTTGAAGTGGATTATAAAAACTGGCATGCAACAATTCAAAATAGAAAATCAGAGGCAACAGCAGATACAACCCATATTCATGTCTCCCTGCTTATTGAAGCCTTCGAGAACACTCTAAACAATATTGTTCATAAACAACTTCAGATAAAATCTGACAAAAATTTAAATACAAATACATTCCAAAGATAAATAAATTGAAAAGTTTACAATAGAAAGAGGGTAGGCATTGGAGTAAACTACCTTAGTTCAAACCAGAGCAGTTTATTTTCTGGTGTTCTAGCCTAAAATCACCTCTAAATTACAATCCTATCATCTATAAATACAATTAGAGGTAAGTAGATAATTAAATATATGATGTGACTTCCAGGGCACAAGATAGGTGTACTTGCTCTCTCACATCTCTTCCCAGTACTCCAATATGTCTAAAAATCCTTTCCTTCTCCAAATGTAGAGTGCAAGAAATTATAGTTAAAAATAGAACTTTCATTTGTTCAGCTAATACGTGTATTTACTTCCACACTAACCTTTAATCTTTTAGGACAAATCCAGGGAAGATAAATAACATATATATTATTTTGTTAGTAAGTTTATTTTCCTTCATGAAGGTTTCCTCCCTGCTGTATGAGGAAGTGGCATTGAACACAGCATCCTAGTGTTGTAGCCACCAAAAATAAAGCTTTCCTTATCAGGTAAGGACTTTTAAAATATTCTTCTGGCTATTTTAATGGTGTTAAACCTACCTCTGAAGTTGCATGTGATCTCTATTAGGAATATAGCAAAGTGACATTAACTGGTTAGAGAAAATTTGCCCTAACATAGAGGTATTCATTTCAGACTCAACAGCAACAGGATGATGAAGGAATAAGACAGTAAAGCTAGGAAGAGACCATTTGTGCCTGTAATAACCAAATTTTCAAGTACAGAATACTATTAAGGAAAATAACATACTTTATGTGAGCCTATTATGTTCAAAACCTAGTCCTGCGCTAGAAAGTCTACACTGCTATTATATGCATTTGCTTTGACTGAACTCCAGTGGAGTTAAAAAATGTGGAAAAATACTGAATACCAAGAATTGCTAATTACATCAAAACAAATTTCAGGAATGGTTAAATGACAATGGTCTTCAGTTTATTACAGTAAAAGGAGTTTTGCTTTTTTTGTGTGTGCCAGCTCTGGGGCTTGAACTCAGGGTGTGGGGGTTGTCTCTGAGCTTTCATGCTCAAGGTTAGTGCTCTACCACTTGAGCCACAGCTCCGTTTCCAGCATTTTGGGTAGTTAATTGGAGATAAGAATCTCATGGACTTTCTTGCTCAAGCTGGCTTCAGACTGAGAGATCTCAGCAGCCTGAGTAGCTAGGATTACAGGCATAAGCCACTGTTGCCTGGCTAGGAATTTTACTCTTAATGCATAGAATCTGAAGGAAAAAAGTATGTAAGCTTTTAAAATAGGCCCTTTTGCTAATAATACAAATGTGAAATAAAACCCTTCAAACAAATACCATTTTCACTAACAGTTTACATACAGCAATAATTTATTCTGAAATGTTCACTTAGTTTCTGTTGAGACACAATCCATGTCTCATTAATAAAAGAGCAGCCATCTTGCCTCAAATACCAGAATATACGACAGTTACAGCATAGCAAAAATTCTACCTACTTTCAGATAAAATCTAGTTCATGTAAAATAGTTTCATTCAATGTTTTACAGTTACACATTTTTGAGCACAAAATAGTGTGAATTATTACACGGTAGCTATCTCTATGCATATCATGTGACCACAGAACTGTTAATCATTACTTCTGAAATTGAACCACCAGTTTCACTCATGCAGCAAAGCAAAGCAGGCTGGGTAAACTTATTCATCGGGAACCATATTACTGTGAATTTCACAGTCACATGATTAATTATAATGTTAGATGGAATCACAAGGACTAAAACATTTATTTTTGCATAAATACCAATTTCTCCCTGATGTAAGTTTAGTTTATAATCTAGAAATGATTGATAACAGCAATATATCATATTTCTATTTGTAGTGTTCATTATTTTAAGACAAGTGATAAAAGATTATGGGATGGATGCTACTTAAATACGTGTAAAACATACTGTACAAATATACTTGGCTTTACCATTTTCCCCCTAACTATCAAGAGTGTCTCCCAAAATATGATCAGTGAAGACAAAATGTACTATCAAATATGGCTTCCAGAACAAAACCCCTCTAACAAGAATCAAACCTATTTACAAAACTTTTCAATCTTTTAAAGTTTCATTTGAAACAATATTTCTATATGCAATTTTAATTAACACCTATTTTTTTTTTTTAGTTTTGTCCTTCCAGTCTTTTAAACAGATGTCACAAGGTAAGATCCAGAATGGCGCTTAGGACTTTGAGTTCCACTGGATTCTGTACTGTCAGTTTTTGAATCTCGCTTCTTTGTGTTATTATTCACTGGTGTTGGAATTTGAGATGGCCGGGCTGAAGTGCTATCTGCGCTGCTTTTCCTAGGGCTTGGGTTGTAATTAAAAGGTGTCACTCTGGCAGCTACAGTTCCACTAGGTGAACTGTGTTTGCTGGAGCTGCTTGAACTGAATGGAGTGCGTTCGGCTATAGAACTTTCACTCGTCTCGGCTGCAGGGATGGAATTATTTTGTCCCGGTTTTGTCTCTATTCCCTTTTGGTCTGGGGCATCTACCTGAATGAAGGAGTTCAGGCGGCTTTCCAAACCCAGGGTGTGCACAGGAGCAGTGCCATTACTCACATTTTGTTTTCCCTGATTATCTTTAGAATCTTTACCATTTCCCTTTTCAGAAACACTGTCAATCACTGGAGGAGTATTACCAGTGGGAGATCTTCCAGATCTAGGATTGTTAATGGGACAGTCCTCAATCCTCACCCAAACATCCTCTGTTTTAGAAACAGCAGGTGCCATTTGATAAATAAGAGTCTTTGATTCAGCACCATTTGTAGCACCTGAGGAAGTGGTCTGAGAAGTACTTGTGGGAGAAATTTCATTTTCTTTTATTTTTCTCCATGTTCCTTTTGTGGTTACTTGGTTTTCTTTAGTCTGTTTGGTTCCTAAAATAGAGTTGACATGTTTTTCATCTTCACTTTTGGCTTTCTCACTGGACTCTGATGAAGCAGAAAGAATAGAAGATGAACTTCCAGTTCTTCTCCAGGTGCTTACTCGAGGAAGGGATGATGAATGTTTGCTGTGCTCCCGCTTCCAGGTTCCTGACCTATTGATTGGAAGTCTGGAAGGACTTTCAGAATGAGAGCGTGCTATATCATGTCGCTTTGCTGGTCTACCATCATTATACTCTATAGTGGGACTAAGATTAGGTGGGAGTTTTCGCCATCCACCAGACTGAACAGGGGAATGTGTGGCCAGAGACATATCAGGAAGGGATGGACTTAAAACTGGTGTTTGTGCCTGGGACCTAGTGGGAGAATCTGGTCTGGAAGATGGTGAAAGAGATTCAAATGAGGCAGATTCCTCCAATTTTCTCCTTAGGGTTGGGCTTGGAGCTTCTTTGATGAAAGTAGACTGGCGTACCAATGCAGGTCTTTCCGATCTGTCAGATTCACTTCCACTTGACTTAGTTGAAGACATTCTGGAAAGCTCTACCTTTTTATTAGACCCATTACTAGTATTCATTTGATTTAGTCCTTTAGAAGCAGACTCACTTCTTGGGATACTACTAGCATTCTTGGATAATCCTGTTTGTTTGGTAAGGTTTTGTTGGCTCATCTGTCTGCCTGGGGATGTATAGGACATTTTCCCAGAACCTGAGGACTTAGTAGATGAGGTACTAGGGGATGATGTCCTGGGAAGCTGAGATAACTTATTAGGAGGACTTATTCCATTTCTACCTGGGGAAATTGAGCTTCGCCCTGGTGACTGCAAAGGTCTACTTAATGGTTGCTGGGTAGGTCGCGAAGGAGTAGAATCTCTAGATCCTGATCTAGAAGGTCCTTTATTTGACCCACCAATTTGAGAAGTCTGCCTGGTAATAGGGCTCAATTCTGATTTCACTGATGGCTTGGCTCCTCTAGGAGATGTGGTAACTGTCTGACCTTCACTGGGGCTTTTGGAGGCTGGAGTTTTAAGGGGTGGGCCTTTTTTAGAAACAGGACTTGTACTTGAGGAGCTATTTCGAACCCCTGGAATATGAATCATTGTTCTACCTCTAGAGATTGAAGGCATGTTTGTTTGAAGGGGCTGTTTCATTTGGCTTGAAATTTCTGAATTTGACCGAACTTTTCCAGTAATTAAACTTTTATAAACTTTTTTTCCTCCTTTGATTCCTTTATTTTCAGATTCCATCTTTTTGGTGTCCAATGTGCTTTTCTCTCCAGGTTTGAGAATTCGTGGGCCTTTATTACTTGTAAAAGGCTTTTCTTCTTGATCGGGTGTAAGATGAAAAGGTGATCCCAAAGAAATTCCTGATTTTAGAGAAAGAATGGAATCAGAATCAGATGAAGCTTGTCTAGATAAGCATGCAGCAGCAGCAGCTTGGTGTAAACTACTCACTATGGAATTTGCACCTTCCTGAATAGCTTTCCAATCAAAATTTTCTGAATCAGGGGATAAACCATGTTCTGAATCTGGTCTCTGTATATCTTTCAAATCAAGTGTCAAATCTTCGGCTAATATGCCACCCATATTTCTGGGACTATGTTTCTCATTATCACCTTTCAGCCTTGAAGGCCTTTTCTTTTTTGGCATTGCAGAACTTATACATTCTTGCAAAAGGTCATCTTCAGAATCAATACTAAGAGAGCTGAGAGAACTGTTTCTTGAGAAACAAACGGGGGTATCTTCCACATGAAATGATTTAGGCGCATAACCGGATGCCTGAGGTTTACTTGGTTCTCTCTGTGAGTCAGGAGACTCAGTCTCTTTGACAGGTTCATTTTCTTTGTTGTTGTTGTTTTCTTGGTCAATGTCACTAAGAGAACTTAGAGATGAATTACGAGAAAAGCAAACGGGAGTATTTTCAATAGCAAAATTCTGTAATTTTTCATCGGTCGCTGCTCCTCTATCTGGAATGTCTTTGGATGACTGGGGAAAGGTAGGTTGCTTCTGCAGTACAGGTTTAGACTGACCTCGATTTACTGTATGTTTTGTAACAGCTTGTGACTTATTAGCTGATTGCTGGTTTGAGGTTAGTTCTGTATGACTAGTAACTTTAGCATCTGAATCTTTACTTTCTTTTCCTTTTCTTAACTCAGCCTTTTCTCTGGAAAGATCAACATCATCATCATCAAAGTCTAGGGAACTCAAAGAATCATTTCGTGAAAAACAGTAAGGAGTTCCTTCAATAGGGGTGTAATGGTGAGGTGAATCAAAAGTAAAACTTCCTCTGACTCGATCTTCATTATTTGGTAGTTTATCACTGAAGTCCTTGGGATTATTTTTTAAGTTCTGTTTCTTTGAATCTTTGTTGTCTGTGAAAGTTCGTTCAGCATTTAAGTTATTTTGTGGGTCTGTATTCTTCCTTGCATGTGTTCTACTTTCAGTATTTTGTGGCATGGGTTTTACTGGTGAAGTAGGTTTCTTTTTCTTACTATCCACTTGATTTTTATTAGTTCCAGATGAAGACATAGATGCTTGTTGGACCTGGTCCATTATCTTTTTCACTCGGAAAGGCTTATGACTTTTTCCTTTGGGCATCGCAGAACTAATGCATTCTGCAAGAATATCACCTTCCTCTGTTTTATTGTCATCCAAGTTAGGCACAGTTATGGATGATGCTTTTCCTCTTTGGATCTCATCTGTACTTCTGCCTTCTGTAGGAATGGTATCTCGTTTTTCAAATTCACTTGGCTGGGCCCCTGCTCGGACCTCCTCTGCAGCAGCTAGTTCATTTGGAGGTGATTCTATTGTTAGATCACTTAGCGATGTAGCTGTGGAAAAGTTTATAGGTGTCCCTTCTACACAATATACCCGTGGCATATCATCTCCTGGTGTGAAACTAACATGTTTTTGTGCCTGTAACCTGTTCTGTGATGGCAGAAGTTTGTATACAGGCAGCTGGCTTGGTTTCCTTGCTACAGGTGGAGGTAATTTTGAAGCAGTCTGGGCAAGCTTTTTGGCTTTGCGTGATGACTTTGTTGGCATGGCAGAAATAATACATTCTTCTAATATTTCAATATCATCATCATCTGATTCATCTAACAGATCTTTTTCAGAATCAGTAGGCTTTTCTTCTTTCTCTTTTTCTTGGTTTTCATTTGATTCTTCAGGCTGTTCTGGTTCTGTTTCATTCCCATTATCATTTTCCTGAACTGGAGGCATTATTCTTAACTCCACATCTTTCTGTATAAATGGCTCATCAAGGCTCAGAGCACTTAGGCTAGATGAACAAGAAAATCCATCTGGGGTGCTTTCTGTAGCAAAATGTAGTAAAGTATCAGCATCTGGAAGAACCTGGACTCTCTGAACAGCTGCATTTACAGTGGCTTGTTTAGGTGCACTCTCTCTCTTTTCAGCAGTGGGTACTTTATTTTTTGGTACTTCTCGTTTGGTTTGAACTGTCTGAGGAGGTGGTGGTGGAGTTTTGCTTCTGCTTGGTGGCATGGTTTGTCCAGGACTATCTGGAAGGTCACTAGGGCTTATAATACCACTTACCATTCCACTACATGGCTCACTTTGAACAGAGCTGGCAATGGAACGACTCTCAAAACTATCAAGTGAGCTGACAGAAGTACATCTGCTAAACATGAGTGGAGTCTCCTGAACATAGTGCTCTGGTGGACTTTTGGGTGTCTGAGCGCCACTTTTAGAGGGAGATTTGGCTCCTGAAGACAATTCCACAGCTTTGTGCCTTGCTGATTCTGTGGACAAACCAGAAGCCTGTAGTCTACTGGATTTGGTTCTAACATGCTGTGACACTGTTGGGACTTCACTTACAGGATCTTCAGTGGATCTAGTCACACTGTTCTCTTTTATTTCTGCTATTTGCAGCTTATTAGCAGAATCTCCTTCCTGTGTTGTCTGGCCACATCCTATTTCATCTTCAGCTGATGATAATGATGATAATGAACTACACCTTGAAAAACATATTGGGGTGTCTTCTACACAGTAAGTCTGTATTGTTTCTTGGTTGATAGAAGGAACTTTGCAAGTGGTAGCTTTTTGAGTCTGACCACTTCTACTTTGTGCTGAACTTGGATGCAGCTGATTTTGTCTCTTGGCATTAGATGAAGGTGTGGATGATGTATTCTCTGTGCTTGAAGAGATATGTTCTGTTTTAGTGCTTTGTGCAGTTGAACTCTTTGAAAATGAAAATGATTGTTTCTGTGAGGAAGACATGTCTGTAGCATACTTTAAACTATAATCAATAGGTTGATCTACGTGATGTTTTTCCTCATTGTATTTTATACTATAATTTGTTGGTCTCTCTTCTTCTTCATGCTGTTCTTCTTCAGAGTAACGTTCACTATAGTTGGTAGGTTTATCATCTTCATAGTCATCTTCCTGACACAAAGACTGGTTAACATTTTGATTAATTCCATGAGTAGAACCAACTCGATTTGTTTCGGAACTGTTTGTTGGTCTTGACCTATATGGAGAAACACATTCCTGCTGTCCAAAGTGTGGTTGGAACTTGAGGTGCTTCTCATCAGTGCTCTCAGGATATACAGGGTAAGTGGTATTTTGACTTCTTGATTGTCTTTGTTCACTTTGTTTTATTTCGTCTTCTATTATGTGTTTGGGTCTTGCCCATCTTTCATTCTGTGAAGGGCTTTGCCTTCCAGAGTTCAATTGCTCATCTGAATATTTAAGACTATAATTTATTGGTGTATCCAGTTCTCCATCATTATCATCCATATGATTTGCACTATGTATTTTATGGGCTAGATCAGCTGGATATTGACCATAACTGCAAAATTTGCTTTCATCATCTTCAGAATAGGATTCAATTGAAGGTTTCATTTGACCTCTCTTACCATAACCATCGCTACTACTAACACTATTTAAACTATCATTTGAAGATCTCTTATATTCTAGTTTGGCATAAGGCATAGAGCATGTCCTATTTGGATTTTCTGCTTTAGTGAAATTGTATGCATTTGAGTGTGTGTGGGCAGCAGAGCTTCTTCTTATTGCATTCCTTTCATCTGTCACACAATGTAATTCTGTAGTAGAGCCAGAACTTCTGTCTTCCTGGGAGGTATGAATGGCTGATACTTCTTCCATGACTTTGGCAATCTGGGCTGCAGTGGTAGAGATCTGCAAACTTCGCTTTGAAGAGGTTCCTGGATTTTCTGTTGCTGGATGATACGTGCTTAGGCCAATTCCTCGTTCTCTCTCCAAACTTCTATCTTTTTCAGAACGAGAACTATCTAAGCTTCCCCTAGAAGAAGAGCTAGGCAATACTGTAGTATTCAAATATGGTGAAAGAACAGTCATGTTTCCAGTATTAAAATTGTCTGATCTATTGTCGTCATGTCGATTGGCATCAAAAACATAGTCACCATAAAGACTTTGCTTGTGTCTCTGCTTACTACGATGAGATGCCTTGGGACTTAAATTGTCAATATTGTCAAAAGTTTCAGATAAATGCTGAGCATCTAATTCTGCTTCTAGGGCTTTTTGTTTCCTAACATGAAGAGATGGCAAGCTTGAACCAGGAGACATAATATTGGCATCCTTATACTTTGCAGGTCTGTTTGCCATGAGATTCCTTAAAGCTGCAGCACTTCCCATAGCAATCATTTTGTGCTTTGAATGAATGAGATTCTTGAGCATGCTAACTGCTCCCATATCCCATAATGATTCTTGGTCTTTAGGATTTCTTGCCGAGAGATTCCACAAAGTTCCACAAGCATTACTGACTATTGTCAAGCTGTGAGATTTTAAGTGCTGTAATAAGGTTTGTAGGCAATTGTTCTCTCTTAGGATTTGCCTGAAATAAAAACAAGAAATCTCAGAATTAAGCTAAAAAAGTTTAAGGTAACAAAAGGACAAAAATATTATAGTTCTAAAGATTATAAAAATAACAGGGACAATGAAACTGTACCAGTTATAACTTCCCCATTTAAAGTATTTATCTGTCATAGCAAATGAGTAGAAATATTATTCTTTTAATCTATTCTATATGTCTTACTCTGATTCAATAGCTTAAAATATTTTTTTGAGAAGATACATGTACTCTATTTGCACAGTGACATTTTTCTAATTTAAGTACCAAATATTATGAAATCTTAAAACTGAGTAAGTTTTAAGACTTTATGGTAATTTAATCTATAGATATATGCCACAATATCAACAACTGAGCTTTCTTGGAAAAGCTGGACAGAACTGACTGATCTTTATGTAGTCAAATGTATGTCCCTAGATTACCAAACTTACTTTCCACAGTGGTCTCTGTGTTTCTGGATTGATTCTGTGATGTTGCTACCTCTGTGTTCTCTGACAGATTGTATGTGTAGTCATTAAAATATATAACTGAAAGGTGTTTGAAACATTTAAAACATATAAATACAAAGACTGGCAATCAATATAATGGACTCTGGGACTTGAAATAGCTGCTACAGTGTTGTTTAATGTGAACAAACTGACATTCAATGACAGCATATAATGCTCTAGTTAAAGAATAAACAGTAAATTTTAATATGGCAGTTTTCTCTTAGTAGACTAGTAGTCAACTGAAGATTTTGTGAGTTTAAGGAGTCTTCTTTGAAAGGGATATCAAGCTATACTCTGTGCATCAAAGCTTGAAGAAAAAATATGTTTATATCCTTATAGGCTCTTTTGCTAAAAGAATCTCACATTCTTTTGAAGAACAACATGGAGTAATACTGGATAAGTTAAACAAAAATTAAGCTGTAAAAGATCCCTAAATTTTTTGTGTCCTGAATCTGAAGTGATCTCATAGGTTTCACAGATCTAGTAGTCTAATGAATGGCTGGTAGTTAAATAATATAATTTTTTTTGTCAGGCACTGGGCTTAAACTCTGGGTGTGGGAGCTGTCCCTCAGCTCTTCAGCTCAAGGCTAGTGCTTTACCATTTGAGCCACAGTTCCACTTCCGGTTTTCTGGTGGTTTATTGGAAATAAGAGTCTCAGAGACCTTTCTGCACAGGCTGGCTTTGAACCGTGATCCTCAGATCTCAGCTTCTTGAGTAGCTAGGCTCGAGCCACTGGTGCCTGGTATAGTATAATTATTGATATTAAGACATCACTCGAAGGTGGGTGCTGGTAGCTCATACTTGTAATCCTAACTACTTTCTACAAGAAAGCTAGAAGTGAAGCTGTATACCAGAAAGTTCAGGGATAGAGCCTAAGCCCTGAGTTCAAGTCCCAGGACAGGCACACCCTACCCCCCAAAAAAGACACCATTAGAAACATGTGAACTTTTACTTGCTGAATCATGCTCATAGTTTTGGCCTTATTTTTAAAATAAGCCCCATATTCTTTTATATTACACTAATAAATAGATAAAGATTTTTTCTAACATTTGTAAATTTTATTTTTCCTCTAATATGCATCATTCCTCTCAACTATCATTTACTTCCAGATTCCTTTAAGACACTATGAACTTTATTAGAAGGAACAAACTAATGAGTTAAAGGAGGAGTTACTATCTTTTCACTGTATTGATATTTTGGTTTAGAATATCTGTAATTACACAAAATACTATTTGTGATGAGGTCTTTTGAAGGAAATGAATTCTATACTAATTCATTTAAAAGTAATATAAGACTCTGAATATACCTGTGGTCTTCATTTGTAGCTATCAGGCTGGACACATTCCGTAATATCCCACCTCCACTTTCAATAATGGCTAAAGTATTTGTCTGGCTCCGGTAAGTGAGAGTGCCAACCAAAAATGCAAGTGCACCATCTACAGCGCATATATCAGCTTTATTTTCAGTGCAATGTGCTGACAAATTCCATAAGGCACTCAAGACGCTTTTGAGGGTGGATTCCTATTAAGAAACAGAGTATTGTCAAATTCTACTTAAGAGTTAGAATTTATTGCTGGTAACTTCTACTACATTTACTTTTATTGGATAAATTATTTCCCCTATTCTTTCCTTTACTACCGATTGCTCAATGGTAAGTTAAAAACTTCTCATTTAGAAAAACTTTCATAAAATGCTGAATGGAATTTAAGCCAGTTATATCTCTATAAAATGAGCACAATATATTAAACAAAGATCTTCATCCTAAGTGTTTAGATGATATAAATTCTTTATTCTTTCTAAAAATATTAAACAGAAAAGATGTACATTATGAAAAGATCACATTCTCAGGATAAATGGATACTCAACTTCTATATACCACACATACAGATATGGAAAGATTGAAAAAGTATGAAGTATTAAGAACAAATATACAATATTCTACCTATATTAAAATGTACTATATATATATTTTTAAAAAGTTGATTAAAAAGTAACTTCTGAGAAGTAGAAAGGGTATTGGTAAAAGTATAAGTTCTTAAAATTTTCAAAGAAACAAAATAATTACAAAAAGCTACATTACCATAGAAACATTCTGATAAACAATTGGAGATATTTGGTTTCAATTTGCCATCATTTATATGTCAGTTCTTGTTTTTGCTACATAATCAAAAAACATTTATTAGAAATCTATTTTATGTGCTTAGTGCTATGGCTTATATCTGTAATCCCATCCTCTTGAAGGCAGCTATCAGGAGGATTGAGGTTCCAGGGCAGTCCAGGCAAAAAAGTTAGCAATATCTCATCTCAACAAAAAAGATGGGCATGAAGATACATGCCTGTCATCCCAGCTATGTGGGAGGTGTTAAGCAGAAAGACCATGATCCAGGCTGGTCTGGGCAAAAAAATGTGAGACCAGGCTGGGAAGGTGGCTCAGTGGTAGAGTGCTTGCCTTGCATGCATGAGGCCCTGGGTTCGATTCCTTAGCACCACATAAGCAGAAAAAGCCAAAGTGGCATTGTGGCTCAAGTGATAGAGTGCTAGCCTTGAGCCTTGAGCTGAGGGACAGCACCCAGGCCAAGTTCAGGCCCCACGACTGACAAAAAAAAAAAAAAAAAAGTACTCTTAAGCCAGGTGTTGGTGGCTCACGCCTATAATCCTAGTAACTCAGGAGGCTGAGATCTGAGAATTGTGGTTCAAAGCCAGCCCATGCAGGAGTCTGTGAGACTCTTATCTCCAATAAACCACCAGAAAACCAGAAGTGGCGCTGTGGCTCAAGTGGTAGATTGCTTGCCTTAAGGTAAAGAGCTGAAGGACAGTGCCCAGGTTCAGATTAAAAAAAAAAAAAAGTGAGATCTTATCTGAAAAATAATGAAAGCAAAAAGGGCTGGGGATGTAATTCAAGTGTAAAGCACTACCAAGGCAAGGCCCTGAGCTTAAATCCCAGTAGCACAACAACAAAACAAAAAAACAAAAACCTAAAAGGTACACTGCTCTTATTGTAAGTAGAGGCATTCCTCCAGATAAAATAACAAGGGAATCTATTGTTGTTATTGCATGGGTAGGGGGTATGTCTCAGTGGTAGAATGTTTGCTTAGCATATAAAGATCACTACAGTCTGAATTTGCTTAATTAAGTCAAACATTTCATGGGAGAATAAGTCCTGTACACTCAGAAATAAGAGAAGACAGTGGCTCTTAGCAGAGAAAGCAGAACAAGAAAAGGCATGGGAATAGGGATCAGCAAGGGAGGACTGATGGACAGAAAAGACACAAAGGAGATGAAAGATCATGCTAGGCCAACAGTAGAAATTAAGTTCAGCGGTGTCAAAAGTAGGCTTTGAATGCCACAACAAACACTTTGGGCCTAACTCAACAAACAGCTCAATACTTTATTGGCCTCATTAAGAAATAGTGAGCTATTATTATAGGCATGAGCCTAGGCTGAGATCCAGAGGACTGCTGTTTAAAGCCAACCTAGGCAGAAAAGTCTTGGAGACTACATCTTCAAAATAATCACTAAAAGTCTGGTCTGGAGTTGTAGCTGAAGAGGTAGAATGACAGCCAAACAAGCACACAGCCCTGAGTTCAAGTCCAGTACTGCAAAAAACAAAAAAAGGCTGACAATATTTTGTCAGAGAAATTTAAGAGTGGCAGAAAGGAAGTGTTTTCAACAATTAAGATGTGAGAAAGGTAAGAACTCAGTTTTAATTACATTGTGACTGTGGTAAATGTGGGATAGTCAAGCATACTGAAAACAGAATGAACTCAATTGCAATTGGCAGAACAACTCTGGTATTATTGTTATTTTAATTGTTTTATGCTGGTACTAGGGTTTGAACTCAGGGCCTCTGGCTCCTGCTTGGCTTTTTTACTCAAATATTAGGCTTGACCATTTGAGCCACACCACAATTCTGGTTCTCTCTACTGGTTAACTGGAGATAAGGGTCTCTGGGATTTATATACCTGGGCTGGCTTTGAACCTTGATCTTGCTTCCAGAGAAGCTAGGATTACAGGCCTGAACCACAGGTATCCAGCTTTTTATTGTTATTTCAAAAGTTCTATTTGAGCCTGGTGCCAGTGGCTCATACCTATAATCCTACTTATTAGGAAGCTGAGATCTGAAGATTATAGTTCATAGCCAGCCCAGGAAGAAAAGCCCTCAAGACTCTTTTTCCAACTAGCCAGCAAAAACCCCAAAACAACAACAACAACAACAACAAAACTGGAGGTGTAACTGACTAAAAAGCTGAGTGAGAGCTGGAGGTACTTAGTTCAAGCTCCAGTACTAGCACCAAAACACACACACCACCAGCACCAACAAAAACAACCCCTTTCTCCAAAGAAATCCCTAAATCTGAAATGGAATAAAGAACAGAGTAAATTATATTAAGATGGTTCACTAGTTAATTTGCAGCATGACAATACCACTTGAGCTATATCACTAGTTTTGGCTTTTACTGGTTTAATTACAGGTAAGAGTCTTGAGAATTTGTCTGCCTGGGCTGGCAGATCTCAGACTCTTGAGTAGCAAGGATTATAGGCATGAGCCACTTGTGCCTGGCCTTTAAGTTTACCTAAAAACAAACAGCCAAATTTCTGAAATAGATAATCAACTTCCTTCCTTCCTTCCTTCCTTTCCTTCCTTCCTTCCTTCCTCCCTCCTTCCTTCCTTCCTGTAGTGGAACTCTGGGCCTGGGCGCTGTCCCTCAGCTCTTCAGCTCAAGACTAGCATTCTACCACTTGAGCCACAGCGCCACTTCTGGCTTTTTTCTTTTTGCTTATGTCGTGATGAGGAATCGAACCCAAGGTCTCATGCATGCAAGGCAAGCAATCTACCACTGAGCGAGCCACCTTCCCAGCCCAGATAATCAACTTTCTATAAGCATTATTATTTGGAGATTTTTCACTCTTGGGTCTCCTAAAACTTTAGGGGATTGAGAATTGGAGAACTCGTAGATAACACTTATACTAATGATTTTTCAATCAGGAATTTCTTTTTAATCCCTTCTCCCTCCTGGGGGACCTGTGGCAATATCTGGAAACATTTTTAATTGGGTCACAACTTGGAGGAAGGTGCACTAGGAGTCAGAGGACAAAGGTTAAGAATGCTTCTAAATAGCTTACCAAGGCTCAGGTCAGCCTGAAGCAAGGCATTATCTGGTACAAAATGTTTCTAATGTGAAGGTGAGAAATTCTGACTCTTAAAATCTTTCCTGATTGCTACTTTGTAAATCTAGACCTAAACAATGCACTGGTGAGATAAGGTCAGAGATTAGGAACTCTGAGTGAAAGAAGTAAATAAAAAGTAACTGAACATGAATTCAGAGTACGATATTAAATATTTTCCAAGGTACCTTTTTAACTTCCAAAGCACATTCCATTAATGCTTTCACACTTCCAACTTCTCGCAATGTCTTCTTACTATTTACATCTGCTCTCCAAGACAAATTTCTCAAAACACTTGCAACAACCTGCAAATAAAATTTTAGAATAGTCTGAATATAAAATGGTATCAGTTGTCTTTTTTGTTTCTAATGCTAGAGGTAAAAAAAAGTATATTTCAGGTTAAATAAACCATATCTAACATGCTGTGCTTTACATTTTTTTGCTTTTGTGTTTTACTAACACATATATAACACACTCTTGCATAAGATCTGAATCAAAATACATATGGTTAAAAAATACATCATATATTTGCTTCATATGCACCCTACATACATAACCGGAAAGTAACTTTATATGTTTCTAAATTGTGCATGAAATCAAGTTTCATGGTACTGAATTTTTCACTGTGGCCTTATATTGACCCTCAATATTTCAGATGTTAACTTGTATGTGGGGACAGGAGAGAAAAACTGTGAGGGAGCAAAGGAAGGGGTAACATTGTCCCAAAAGAAATGTACTCATTACCTGACTTATGTAACTTCTCGTTATATAGCCTATATAATGACAATTTTTTTTTTGGGGTCCGGTCATGGGGCCTGAACTCTGGGCTTGAGCACTGTCCCTAAGCTCTTCAGCTCAAGGCTAGTGCTCTACCACTTGAGCCACAGCGCCACTTCCGGCTTTTTTCTTTTTGCTTATGTGGTGCTGAGGAATCGAACCCAGGGCCTCAAGCATGCAAGGCAAGCGCTCTACCACTGAGCCACCTGCCCAGCCCTATAATGACAATTTTTAAAAAGGACAAAAAATCAGATGTTGGAGCATTTTGGATTTTGGTTAAGGAATGCTTCACTTTTATCAAAGCATAATAGCATGTATGGAAATGTCACAGGGAAATTCATTATTTGTACAATAAACGTGACTGAATAATTACAATCCTAAGAGGAATGTTCTCTCTGTACTAAAGAAATTTCTCTAAAGTGCCAAACAGAATTCTTCCAATATAATTATTTCTCTTTATTGTTAAGAGAATTATACTTTAAACATTTACCAAGCTACAGATTAATATAAATCAGGACATAAACTAGTTAATATCAAAGAAAAACACATGAAATTCTAGGCAGTACCTGCTGTAAGTCTTCACTTTCAGATTTCAGTTGGGCCACAAGTGCTCTCATGCAGCCTTTCATGGAGCAGAGCGTAGCCTGTAAAATTAGATGGAGAACAATGTCACCAATAGGGCAATCTGAAGCCATGCTTCAGTTTTGGCTACTAAACCTCAATCATAACTAATATTTTACCTATAAAAGATCCAGAACAAAATTATCTAAATGAAAGTGAGAAGCATCCTAATTGCTACTTTCTTTCCTTGACAAACTGGAAAATAAAAAGAAATGTTAAGCAAACAGTTTTAAAGTCTTTTATCTGAATGGAATCAGTTCATATGTAACACTTGCTTATTAGCAGCATTTTTAAGAGTTTTGGTTTCATTTCTAGGAAGTGTTGGTAATACAATTTCATAAATTTCTGATCATACTATACCCGTGGATGTGTTTTTGCCTTTGTTGAGGCACAGGACAACCAAATTAGTAAGGATATGCAGTGAATGTGAAGTACAGGTTTTTATTAGCTGTTGTTTACTCAGAGAAGGGTGACAAAAATAAAAAGCATCTAGTAGTTTTTGCATCATTTGTTTTAAAAAGTAGTTTGTATGAAAGTAAAGAAACTCATATCTGAGCTATCATTTTGTGTGTGTATATGTGTCAAGTCCTGGGACTTGAACTCAGGTCCTGGGTGTTGTCTCCAAATTTATTTGCTCAATGTTAAATGTTCTACCACTTGAGCCACAGCTTCATTTGTGGCTTTTGTGGTGCTTAATTTGAGATAAGAGTCTCACAGACTTTCCTGCCCAGGTTAACTTCAAACCTTGATCCTCAGATCTCAGCCACTCTGAGTAGTATTACAGGCATGAGCCACAGCACCTGGGATACTTGAGCTCTCTTCAGAAATAGATCTACTTGTGCTCATTGGCTGGCATTCTATCACTGGAGCCATGTCTCCAACCCCAAGAACTAGATTTTATGAAAACAAAACAAAAGAAAATAAAACATACCTTGTTGGCTACATCTCCAAAAGTCAAGTTTGTCAAAGCCATTCCAGCATATCGTCTTAAAGTAATACTGTAGTGGTCATTAGTAAGCCCATACATCTCACAGTCCACTTGCAATAATTCTGCAATGGCCTGTAGTCCCCCTAATTTAAAAGGGCAAGAGGAAAAAGATAATAATCTAAAATTAAACTAATTGGTGACTAGTTTATAACTTAAATATTAGGAAAAGAGATTTCAGAGAATGAGAATATAAATTTGCCTTTAAAATTATAGCCACAAAAAAAACTGTTATGAAGGACTGTTATATAGTGTATTTATGATGTACACCAGAAAACTATTCCATTACTGCCAGTTTCTCTACCCGCTAGACTTTGCTTTACTGAATGAAATAGTTTTTTTCTATTTACTGCTAACAAAGAAGGCCATTTTCTAATTCTAGGTCCTCCTAAACATAAATAGAAAAAGGCAACTTATATTATTATTAGAACTTTACAAACTCTTCACTGTCACATGCTGTGTCCTAAATCATTTAACTTTTTTTTTTAATCTGCCAAATAATACCTTTTGGAATAATTACCTTTAGGAATAGTGAAACTTCTAAACAAAACTATAGGAAACATCACTTTTTTTGTGAAATAGAATTATCTGTTCATATTATTACTAATTAATTTTTTTAACTTTAATAGTAGTCAAATACCAACTATCTCAGGATGTAGTATTTTCATTCTCTCTGATTCTTATCACCAGGTTTGCTCAATAATGCCCACAGTGATTGGTGTTAAGAAGACAAGAAAGAAAACAAAGGGAAAAGAAAAGGAAAGACAATAAAGGAAAGGATTTAAAAAAAGTGAAAGTGTCGAGGGAGTGAACAAAAAGAAAAATAAAAATGCACATGGAGCTATTAAAATATCATTCATCATCAAACACTGATCATCACAGAGCTTAGGTTTTTTTGTGTTTGTTTCTTGTTACCGAGAAGTGGCTCTGACAGAAAAAAAAGGTAATTCTTGGGCACTGTAAGTCTTTTCAGTTCATTATCTAGAAGAGGACCAGTATTTTCAGAAATGATCTATAAGGATTAGCATATAGAAAAAAATTTCAGGTTTGCAGAACTAAGTTCCATCTTAAGAATTCTAGTCCAAGATATTTACCTATAAGAAAATACATATCTTTATGGCTAGATACATATTTTTATGACTAGAAGAAATGACTAGAAGATGATTCTGATGTAGATAAATGAAAATTAACTTGTCTAAAGAAAATCCAAGTCATATTTAGGAAGATTTTCCTCCATCCACTTATGATAATGGAAAAATGTAGAGTAAACAGTGAACTAACCAATCTTTATGTCCTTATGGAGCTTACTAGGGAGAACAAAGATAGACAATAAAAAAGTAAGGGTGATGGATTATATGAAGCTCATGGTTAAGGTAACAGGTGGACTGAATTTAGATCTAGATGGATTGTAGTGCCAAGAAAAAGGCTGAGGAAATAATATTTAAAGTGAGACTTGAGGGATGAATGAGTATCTATGGGGTGTGGCAACAGTACGACAAAAGGACCCTTAAGCTTGAAATGTAAGTCAACAAGAGAAGGCCCCTAGATGAGGATATAGAAATGGACAGACACCAGATCAAGTTAAGACCTTCTGTGCCACATTCATGCTAGGCAGAAGGAAGAATAATTAATGCACATTTTTAATAGATTACTATAAGATAAAGTATGCAGAATTCATTATGATCAGACATACGAAGAAAGGCAGGACAAAGTCTACAGAACAAGAGACAATGGTGTCTTGCACTCAGGATGAAAAGAACAGTGACCTGAGATTTAACTAAAAAGCAGGATTAACGTCACTATAATGATGAAGCCATGGATGATTTCTTAAGATTTTAGTTTGATTAGGGGATGTGGTAGGTAACAAATTCAATTAGTGACAGTTGAGTTAAAAGTGCTTGGAATACTGCCTGAAGGAAGATGTCAAATAAACATTATAAAAAAAGTGTCTGAAACTTAGGAGAGAGATCTTGTACTGAAATACAAATATGAAAAACACTAACATAGTAAGTGAAACTTTGGGAGTGGATAATATTGCACAGGTTTACAGAAAGACAGCCGAAGGTATTCAAGGAATGCCATTAATCTATATTTGATTAAAGAAGGAGCCAGTAATATAACTAAGAATTTTGCTCAGGATATTGATATGGGAGTCACTGAGGCTCAGGGTACTGATACCCCCAAAATTATGAGTATCATAAGCAGACTATCAATACTGAGACAAAACAAACTATGCTTTGTTTTAAATAAAATCCTTCATGAAACAGCAATATTCTGAGTAATTTCTCAAGAAAGGCAAAATGCATCTAAGGAAGGTCCCAAGAAAGGAGTTGATGAGCACTGTTATATGGAAAAACTAAGTTTTAGAACTTGATTTTGACAACCAAGATTCAAGAAGTATGTGGAGGATGTCTTTCCAACAATGAAGAACATGGCTAATGAAAAAAAAAAACTTGAAAAATTTGGAGTATAAGAGGAAAGTCTTTATGACTTAGGGGAAATAAAAAGAGCATGCCTTACATTTTCCTTGGTGCCTATGTCAGAAAACAACGGTCCAGACGAACTTTATTATCATTTGTTGTCTTGGAACCTTATAGATAACGGAGGACCAACTGCTTCAGATGACATTAAACAGGATTCTTAGGTATTTTTGTGTGCCAATCCTGGTGCTGAAACTCAGGAGCCACAGCTCCACTTCTGGCTTTTGTGTGTGTGATTCATTGGAGAAGAGAGTCACATGGACTTTCCTGCACAGGCTGGCTTCAAACTGTGAACCTCAGAGTAGCATTACATGCATGAACCAAACAATGCCTGGCAGAATCCTTACATTCTTAATGAAGACTAAGTACTTAAAAAAATAACAGAGAGATGAATTTAATTTCTTAAAGTGTATCACTTTTATTTTGTTTACATAGCCACCATTTGCATGAAATAACCCCATTCTAGACTAAATACTGGGGGCCCAGTGTCAATATTACATAGATTAATGCTTCGGAGTTTCTTGAGAAGTATTGCATGAGCTACTTATTAAATGTGATTCACAGGCCCTTCCCCCAAGGGATTTTGTTTGCCACAGGGCCAGTGAATCTATATGGTTTGACAAGTGCCTCTGGTGATTATTACAATCTAGAAAATTTGTGAAATATTAATGCAAATAAGTCATGAGATCCTTGGAAGCCAAGATCATACTGTAGGCATTATAAAATTCTAGTACCTAGCAAAGGTTTCTGGGACATATTTGGGAATTAAGAAATAAAAATCTCTGATGTTACAATCTAAAACTTCCAGTACTAATCCTTGCAAATTTAACCCTGGTAGTTGCAGGGCTTCATATGTACAAATGGCAGTTCTAGATGATGGGGCTTAAGAATTTATATTCACCTAATAGGACTTATTTCTTACCTATTCTTAGTATTCCCAGATACCTGTGCTGTCCTTACTGTCTCCAGCCTGAATGCACAAACCTTAACCCTGTTTTGGCCCCAGTGCAAAAATGGAGGCTAGAAATGAGAGAAAGGTAACATCTGTGGCTATGTCCCAGGCAGTCACACCCCCAGAGGCCCCATCCTGCTCCTCACCTGAAAGCCCCTGCCCTAGCTCCTGTGATGAAATGCCCCGGGTAGCCTTCCTACCTGAAGAAGGAAGAGGAACAAATACTGAGTCTAGGTTTTATTTTGAAATTCAGATGATTAATGTGTCAGTCCTAGTAGTCCATTGGAACATTTACAGAAAACCTTTCTTTGTAATATACTATAATTGAATTTTTCTGTTCATTACTTTTATCCCTTTCTCAAAATTGTGAGTATTAGAAGATATAAAAATTTTACAATGCTAATAATATACTGAAGAAGGGGGATCTCATAAGATTAACTGAGATTTCACAAGTCCTGAGGGAGGAGAGAATCATGGAGGCCTGTGGGAAGAAAAGCATGGCTGTAGGGCAGGCCTGAAATCTCAAAGTACACAGCCTCCCCAAGTGATGACTCTGACGGGGACAACATTCACTTTTGGGTGTGCAGGTTCTCTGTATTTAAGACTCTCATGACTTTGTCATTTTTAAGATAAGTGATGAATGACAATGATGAGGGTGGCAGGAATACAAAGTGGAGGCTGGAATGTAATATAACATAAACAGTATAAAAAGCAAGGTACAACTACACTAAGATGGAAACTCAGTGTATGGTTCTTGCTTGTGGCATGACTAGAGAAATTCAATTCACATAAGATGGCTCAGCATGATGCAATTTATAAATATCACAAAATGAACCTAGAAATCAAAGAAAAACCATTTCATGGAAAATGCGGTGTATTGTAATGAAGGTTATATAACGTCTAATGTGTGATTACACATACCCACAAGAGTAACTATTCCAAAATACAATTTTTCTCTATTAAAACCCAGTAAAATACTGATAACCATAAAGATAAATGAAAGTGATAAATAGTAATAGTAGTATTTCCCCTTGGTATACATCAAAAGTGACTTATAGACTTCAAGGTAAATGAAGTAGCTTTACATTAAAAAAATAATTCAAATTATGCTCTCTATTAGTTGTCACCACACAAGATCTACCTTGTCAACAGGGACAAGGAGTGGTATATTTTAGGGTAAGAAAATTGAAGTTAGTTTATAACAGGGTAGCAGTTTTTGTGATTCAGGGGCTCTTCTCCCATAGAAACCAGGAAACACTGTTTTGTTATGAAGAGGCAGAAGCTGAACAGAGGTAGTAATCTTATTTCTCAAGTCATTAATTATTAAATATTTCTATATACTATGATGAATTTCAACCATGATTTAAAAATAAACCAGTGTGTGTCTATGGCATTAAGAAACACTTTTGTCTTACCAAGTTCATTCATTGCATGTCTATGTTCTTCATCAAATGAAAGTTTCATTAGAACACACACAGCAGGACAGATCTGATGTTCAACTGGAGCTGGCACTAAGAAATAAAAGTACCGTGTCCCATATTATTTTATTACTTCAAAAGCAATTCTGTCTTATTATACTTTGAAAGTATGCAGGAGTCATTAATATATTCCTAATATACTGAAGTCAAGTGGATTAATAAGTATTTGCTGAATGGATGAACACACACTACAAATGAGTAAAGGGCTTTTTCTTAGGTCTATATAAAAATGCTTATTACTACTCATATATGCAAGACCTAGTCTGTTATATTAAGTCCAGTTACACTGTAACTCACATCATTTATCTAATGATGCTCATTAGATAAAAATAAAAAAATTCTGGTATATGTACTTTAACTATTGTTATGAGTGTGAGTTGAAAGGATATGGCTGTATATAAATGTAATGCCTCCTAGAGAAAGTTAACCAAAGGTAACTACATATTTAATGCTACAAGCAATGTTGCAAAAATCGTTTTTGACATAAAATATTTATTAGAAATACTTTTTCCAAAATAATAATGAATCATTTCATAATTGTGGACAGGCAAATAAAATCATTCAGAAAGACAATGTTCTCTCAATAAAGCATCTTACTAATTTTTTTATATTAGAACTAGTAGATATAAAGTATCATTTCTCCTTTTTTTTTCTTGTTCTTGAACATACTTTAGATTTTTAAATAATCTTTATACGGCAGCTTAGAAAAAAATCTGTTATAGCTTCATAACTCATGTTTCACCATCATTTGTTTTCTTGCTCCCCAAATCAATACATTAATTCAACAGAATCATCTACTGATTCTGTGAGTTATTGCTGACTGAAAATAAAGTATTACCTTATATACTTATTACTGTTAGTTCTTGGCTATTGGAATGAAGTGAGGTCCCTAAGAAACCCAATCCTTATGTTTTCCTACTCCTAAGGGAAAAGGGCCAGTGGTCAGGCATTTCTTCCTAAGCGAAGAGCTGTGTGACTTATGGCCCCAGTAACCAACCAGGGCCCCACTCTTTGGAGCAAGATGGTACAGTAAAAACAGTACTAAGCTCAAGTCAGCAGACCTGGCTTCTGTTCTTGGCTCTCACTTATTAACTATGGGGCTACAAGCATCTCTGAGTCTCAGTTTTATTTATAATAATAGAGACTATAATACCTTCCCCCTTTCTACTTCACAAGGCTGTAGAGATCAAAAAACAATAAGTAGAGCTGTCCACTGAATACTGACATGCAAATGTATGGTTTAACTTATGTGCAGTTGTTTTTCCAAGGTTCATCTATAGAATGAAAGAAGACAATCTAGTTGTTCACATTTCTTTACAGCTGTAAGTTTTGCTTCCATAGATTTTTTTTCAATTTGCTGTTCTAATTTGGTTGGAGTATTTTACATAACATTTTCCTCTGTAAAAATTTTTTTCTAAGGAAATACATACTTAAGCTTCAAAATGTTAGCAGCATATAGATAATATAAATTTATTTTGTTGTCATAAAACAATGTATTAACTAAAGAAAGATTTATAATGTAAAAATTTGTTTTCAAACATGCAATGAGGTACATAATATGGAGAACATACTTGGATTTTTGTCCTGGTCCATGCCTTGTTCGTGGGCTTCCTGCCACTCCCAACAGGTTTCACAGTAAGCTCGTATCTGTTCCAAAAGATGAAGGACTCGGATTTCACGCCTGCCTCTCTTGTCATCAGGCTGTGAGTGAATGATGTTGTGGAGTGCTGCACTGGCCCTGGCCCGAGCCTCTTTACTGCCCCGGGAATTTCCCAACAATACAGAGTCTTTGTCATTGCCATGTAAGAGCTGGATGAGGAGAGGAAGACATCCAGACTGTCGCATGGATATACAGCTGTCTTGGGAGCTAGACATAGCTAGCAAAGTTCGCGACATATCATCCTTATCATGAGTACCAAGCATTGACAATAATGAATACACCATTTCCACCTGTGGGCCAAATGAGTTTAGAAACAAAATTATGACTTTAATATCCAAAAGCCAAAAGTAATGAAATTATGAATGAGATATTTATTTTAACTCATTAGTAACAAATACCTTTACAGGATGAAATAATGAGTGTTATTTTGAAATAACATCAACAATTTATGTGAATATGTAAAAATAGTAATGGCATTATATAGTGTTGAAATAGAAAGCAGGTTATGCCATGCTTAAATTGCAATTTGGCTAGACCAGTTGATTTTATTTCAAGCATTGTTGCCTCCTTTGTTTCCCCTTACCATCCCTTCCTATCTCCACCCCCCTACCCCCCCCAGTTGATTTTATTTCAAAAATAAAAATTTTATTTAAAAAATTCTCACACAAAAAAATCTCACATACAGAGGAATGTGCTTCAACTTGTACAATTTAAAATTGCTTTTTACTCCTTTTAATCTAGAACTAAAATCAATATAAAACTTCTGCAACAATTATAATTTACTAAATATTTTCAACAATCATTAAGTCTCATCAGATTGTTAAAATTATTCATTTCTTTGGACTTAATTTTCACTGTGTATAGCTTTGTGCTTTTAAGCTGTTAAATGTGACTGTATCATTCATTCTCTAAAAATCAATGTAAGCTGGGCAATGGTGGCTCACCCACTTATGAGGCTGAGATCTAAAGATCCCAGTTCAAAAGATAGTCTGGGCAGAAAAGATTGACACTCTTATCTCCCGTTAATCACCACCACCACCATGAGCCGCAGCAAAAATCTGTAAAAAATGATCAATTTCTTCCTTACCACATAAAATGATTTGGTCATTAAAAATGAAAATGCACAGCTAGGTGCCAGTGGCTTACATCTGTAATCCTAGCTACTCAGGAATTTAAGACTAGGGGGATTGAAGTTTGATGATAGCTTCAGTAGAAAAAGTTACCAAGACTCCATTGTCAATTTATCAGTAAACAAGCTGGGCTGGAGGCATAGCTCAAGTGGTAGTGTGCCAGCTGTGAGCAAGCAAGCAAAATGAGGAACAACTCTTCAGTCCAAGCCCTGGTAGTGGCAAAAATCAAACCAAATCTAAAAAAAAAAAAAAAAAAATCCAGCTGAGCACAGTGGTTCACATCTGTAATCCCAGCTGCTCAGTGGGCAGAAAACAGGAAAATGACAACTCAAGCCAGCCCAGGCAAAAAATTGTCGAAATCCATTTCTACAATCAAATCTGACATGATGATATATGCCTATAATCACAGCTATATGAGACATAGATAGAGGGACTGTGCTCTGAGATTGGTCCTATGCAAAAAGCATGATACCCTATCTGAAAAATTACTAATGCAAAATGGCCTAGCGATGTGACTCAATTGCTAGAGCACTTGTTCACAAGGCTGAGTGCAAACCCTATTACTTTCCCACAACTTCTGAAAAAGAAAAATGGTATGATCACATTAAGTTCAATAGTTTACTTAGAAGTAGATGAGACATAGGAAAGCAACACTCAGTTATCTTGAATCTCTAATTATGATGTAGCTTCGTTTCAAAGCTAGAGGCTGCAAAATAAAAACATATTATGTAAGAAATGGTTCTCAATCAGGGGCAAATGTACCCCATCAGGACACATCTGACTATGTCTTGTAGACATTTGTGGTTCTAACAATTATTCAGTAGAGGTGTCATGGATACCTAGCAGGTAGAGACCAGGGATGTTCCTTAACATCTTAAGAGTGCAACTAGGTACTAGTGCTGATGTTGTCATATTGCTCTGAGTGTGTAAACACACACATATTCTTAGATATTAAAGTATGAGGAAGGCAATATAAGTACTTTAAATAAACTTCATCAGATATTAGTTCAAATTTTGGCTTAACTGCTTATAAGCAACTGTGATGCTAGCCTACATGAGCTTTAATTTCCTGTGTTGAAGAAAAAAGAAAATTTACCAAATAGGATTTTATCTATAAAGATTAAATAAAATTATGCATTGGATTAAATGAAACAATCCATGTATATAGGCAAGAGGATGGCATTCAAAATACATATTATCAATGCACAAATTACTTTAATCTTAAAAAGACCCGTCCCTTCTTTTCTTCCCTCCCTTTTTTCCTTCCTCACTTTCCTCCCTCCCTCAACTCTCCCTCTTTCCAGTACTGAGTTTTGAATTCAGGATCTTAAGCTTGTTTTGCAGGCACTCATTGCCATTTGGGCCTTGTCTCCAGTCCTTTTTATTTATATTTCAGACAGGTCTTGCTTTTCTTGCCCAGGTAGTCTGGATTGTGATCTTTTACTTTATGCTTCTGTGTAGCTATGACAGGTGAATGTCACAACTTTTGAGATGGGGATACTGCTAACTTTTTTGCTCAGGCTGGCTTCAAACAATGATGTTCCTGATCTCTGCTTCTCAAGTAGCTGGGATTACAAGTGTGAGCCACTCCAACTGGCTAAAATCCATTTCTTTTTTATTTTTTGTTGATGGGACTTGAATTCAGGGCCTGAGCATTGTCCCTGAGCTCTTTTGCTCCAGGCTAGTGCTCTACCACTTTGAGCTACAGTGCCACTTCCATTTTTTGGAGTGGTTAATTGAAGATAAAGAGTCTCACAGAAATTTTTCTGTCTGGGCTGGCTTCAAACTGCTTTCCTCAGATCTCAGCCTCCTGAGTAGCTAGGATTATAGGAGTGAACCACTGGCGCCTGGCTTAAAATCCATTTCATAAATCAACACTTTCAGTGTTGTATTGTTTAAAATAGAGTATATAAAGTATGCTGTGAAGACAATAGAATTCTTTAGATCTAACTCAAAAATATACTGTTTAGTAACATTCAAATTTCATTTATATATTTTCACTAAAATAATTGTTTTCTTTACAAACATCTTTTCTCAATCCTACAATATTTGGTAACATCTAAGATGCTCTAGAAAGCTTATTCATAACTATTGGATAGCTTTCAACTTAAATAGCTTTCCTATCCATTTCAATATATATCAAACATTATGGGCAGGCAAACTATACTTGCTGAAAATGACACATGGGAAAGAGTCTCTTTTCTATAAGAGCTTCATGAAAATTGTTAAGTGATTCAAAGGAGATAGGAAATGGATTGCATGGATAGGGTTAAGAAGAACCTTGGAATTAAAAGGAATGTTTTGAAGAAGCAAAATCTAGAAGACTGTTTAGGACTGTGATAGCCTTTCTGTGGCAAGGTAAAAACTAGTGTTTGCCACTGGAGACAAGGCATGGAAACAAAGTCACAAGGTGTATTTAGAAAGAAAGCCAATTTGCCTGGTGCTTAGGATCCTTGCAGAGACATGGATAATATCTGCCTAATTTGGCAGTTCTTATAATTATTATTTCCCTTTTGCTTATACTTTTTATCAAAAGAAATAATTTAATTTCTTCAAGGGATTAAACAAAAATTATCAAGAAAACTGAAGAATCTCTTAGCAGTAATAAGCAAGGTTTATAATCTTCTGTTACCTTGGTTCCCAGGTGACTTGTCAGCCTTCGAGGAGCAGAATGTGTGCTACCAGAACTCAAAACACTGGCTGTTTCATGATCTACTCGTGTAGTCGAACCCTAGAAATTCAGCACATTATAGTGTAATTTAGATTATAAATACAGATAACTCCACATGAAGGTATCCCAAGTGACCCATCTTTTATGATAAACAACGAGGTGTATCTTTTTTTTAAAAAAAGAATAACCACTGTGATTGCTCAAAATGAAATATATCTATAGATATATCTCTGTAGAGATATTGATATTCATATCCCAGCTCGCTCGTTCTTTCTCTCTCTCTCTCTCTCGATGCTGGATTGAACCCAATGACATGTTCATGTTAAACATGTACTACAAAGCTTCACATCATTCCCAAATGAATACTTTGATCTGTACACTTACTTCTTTTTTTTGTTGTTTGAGACCAGGACTGGAACTTGCTATGTGATGCTTACTTTTGCTCACTGGCTGGCACTCTTACCACCTGAGCCATGGCAATCCCCTATAAACTTACTAAATATTAGAAAAAAGCTGAAGAGGGGCTGGGAAGGTGGTTCAGTGGTAGAGCGCTTGCCTTGCATGCATGGGGCCCTGGGTTCGATTACTCAGCACCACATAAGCAAAAAGAAAAAAGCTGGAAGTGGTGCTGTGGCTCAAATGGTAGAGCGCCAGCCTTGAGCTGAAGATCTGAGGTACAGCACCCAGGCCCAGAGTTCAGGCCCCATGACTGGATCCCCCCCCCCTTCCCAGCCAAAAAAAAAAAAAAAAAAAAAAAAAAAAAAAAAAGAAAAAAGCTGAAGGAAGGAGATCTTGTAGAAGAGCTCAACTAACACAAGTGTGGGAGTAAACCAAAAATATTGAAGAAATTTTAGAGTAATACATTTTCACAGGTTGAAAGAAATGAAATTGGCCTGTAGGTTCTAGTGTAAGAGTTTCTGTCTAGTAAGCATAAGACTCTGAGTTCAATCCCCAGAACTACCAAAACAAATAAAAGAAAGAAAGAAAAAAAAAGAAATGAAATCATGTTTAGTTAAATGTAGTTGATTGATAGAAAACTATGAAGGAATTTTAGAATTCTAAAATGTTCCTAACTGTCCAAATACTATGGATATGTATTTGGAACAGACCAAGTCTTCCAAGACTTCAGTTGAGAGAAGGCCCATTGAAACTTCTATTGGAGAAAGACACAAAAATATAAATAACCACATTATCATATGATTCAACATCAATGCATAAGAATTTTTTTAAAATAGGGAAACAGGAAAAGCAATGAATCATTTAGGGCATATGAAATGCTATATTGCTTTAAATAAGTAATGAGAAAGATAGGCCTTGAGTTTTGAAGCAGAAAACCCATGGAAGGTATAAATATGGAAAGTAAATGGTGAACATTTACTGTACACCACAAATTGTGTTAAGTACATATTGTATTTATTCTCAAAACTATTTTATAAGGGAGGTGTTACTGCAGCTCAGAATTTGTTACAAGGATTAAGCCAGCTGGCTGAGGAGAGGGATTTTCTGGTTTCCTGACAAAAAGCCATTTATTTATTTATTTGCTTATTTGCTTGTTTGCTTGCTGGGCTTGAACTCAGGGCCTGGGCACTGTGCTCAAGGCTAGCGCTCTACCACTTGAGCCACAACACCACTTCCAGATTTTTCTGTTTATGTGATACTAAGGAATCGAACTCCAGGCTTCATGGATGCTAGGCAAGCACTCTATCACTAAGCCACATTCCTAGCCCACAAAGCCATTTAACTTCCTATCATGGAATAATATAACTCATTACATACCAGTTAATATCATATGGATTACTTCCTTTTCCTTTTTTTTTTTGGTCAGTCGTGGGGTTTGAACTCTGGGCCTTGGCCTTGTCCCTCAGCTCTTCAGCTCACGTTTAGCACTCTACCACTTGAGCCACAGCACCATTTCTGGGTTTCTGGTAGTCAATTGGAGATAAGAATTTCATGGACTTTCCTGCCTGGGCTGGCTTTGAGCTGTGATCCTCAGATTTCAGCCTCCTCAGTAGCTAGGATTACAGGCATGAGCCACCGGCACCCAGCTCATATGGATTACTTCTAATTATCAGTTACCTATATATATAATACGATGATTGACTTCAAACATACCTGACTACTCTTGACTGCTGTAATGATTTTTTTACAAAACTGCTGTCTAGAAAGGTGGTTTCATTTCATTCATACTACTAAAAGCAATCTGAGCCAGGCCCTAGTGGCTTACACCTATAATCCTAAGCTACTAAGAGGCTGAAATCCAAGGATCACTGGAAGCTGCCCAGGCAGGAAGAGACTCTTATCTTTAACCACTAAGAAGGCAGAAGTAGAGCTGTGGCTCAAGTGATACAGTGCTACTAGCCTTGAGCAAAAACCCTTGAAGGATCCTGTGTGTGCTACAGGACTGGTACACAAAGCATTTTGAGAGTGTTAGTGTACTGATTCATATCAATGCTGTCATTTATCTCTGATAACCCAATAACTCCCATCTCCTTTTAGCTGTAATTTATACTTAGGATATCATCACTAGCAAAACTGATCATCTTTCTACATATTTACTATTTTAATTTCTCATTTTAATTTCCTACTCATGTGCATTGATTTGTAAATACTATATGTATTCAGAATTTTAACTTTTAGCTTGTCATAATTGTTTGCAAGTACTGTGATCCTGACTTTTCTTGTACAATCTTGTTATGACCTCCTGGCATACTGAAGATTCACACTGGTAGGTAAGCCTATTGACCCTTCCTTTATAGTTTTCCTACCTATTTCACCATTACAAAAATTCTACACATTTTCTAATTTTTTAAAAATTTTTAGTAGCTTCATTTTTTATAGTAAACATAATAATCTACTTAGAATATACTTTGATATAGCTAGTGTTACATAGATCTGAATTATTATGGGTATATAAAGATTTCAAAGTATACAACAATTACAATATGACCTGATACACTAGGAAAGCATTTTTTCTGTCAAATGACTACACTTTTCTTCCTTCTACATAAATGTGTATAAATATATAAACATATATACCTATATATTATATATAAATATATAAACTTCCCAAATAATTTCCTAAACAACAGAGAAAGATCTCAAATGTTATTTAATTGCTTTTGTCCTGATTTACTACTTAAAATTTTTTTTAATATTTTGCTAAGTAGTAATACTTAGGGAAGCATTTTCTTTGTTTTAGCTCAATAAAATAAATTTAACTATGTAAGTATGGGGCATTTTAAGCATTAAATTTCAATAAGCTACTAGAAGTATATTCTTCTTAAAAAATCAACAGTATTATCAAAATAAACACAAAAAGATCAAAGAAATCCTTTATGTTGTCAGTAGGAAACAATCTTATAGCCAATTGAGAGAAACTCCATTTTAAAAAAATCACTCAGCAAAAATATAAATGTATTTGTTGAAGAAAATTTGGAAAATACAAAAACATCTCAATGAAAACTGTCATATCAGGCTACATTTTAATAAAACTTTAATTGAAAACTGGTGATAATTTCTATTGATGCTAACAATAATGTGGCAATAGTTAAACCTGATTAACATTAGAATCCTCTTTTCTAGTAAAATTTGCCTTTCTATACTGTGTGATCTTGAAGTACTACAGAAAATTAGAACTGTGAGAAAGTCCTTGTGATCATGAAAAACCAACCAACAAAACATGAATGCCTTAGAGAAAAGAGCAAACCTATTCAATGGAAGCAACAACTAGGTCAAGCATACATGTATCCAAACTATTTTTCAAAAAAACTATGCACACTAATCATTAAAGTAAAACAGAAACATGATCTAGAGCTATCAAGATATACTTCGAAATTTAGGAAACATCATTATTAAATATAATAAGGAAAATGATTAGATATCTATTCTAAGAAAACCGTTAAGATTTACAAATTATTTTGTGAATCATTCCACTCTATCATTCTTTTTGATATTGAAACAGTTCATTTAAAAACATGATAATATATTTACCTGGCCACTGCTAGAAGTTGCCATGTTGATTTCTGCCACTCCTTGACCTTCATTCTGCCGCTCAGCTTCATGTGAGCCTGCTTCATGCTTGCTCTGAGATGACCTCTGTTAACATGGAGTTAGCATCATTATATACAAAAATGGAGTATGTTCTCTTAGCCCACAGCTTTTCTTTTTTGTCTTTAAAGCTTTGAATTAATCAATGATACAGGCTGACAAAAGCATGAAACTGCACGTTACACTTCACAACCTCAGGCATGGCCAGCAGCTGACTATCTCAGCAAGAAGAAAGTGAATTGTATCCCTTGAGGATTGGAGCTGCACAAGACAAAGGATTTTCTGAGACTCACAGAAACACCATCCTCTACCAGCTGTGCTCACATTGCTATCAGGAAGATAACCCAACAAACAACTGACTTTTCTGCAAGGTTACACGATCCTGGTATTTAATGGAGCTGCAAATGTAATGAACTATCACCTAAGCTTACAAACACCTTTGTGTAGGCATATTTATTCAGAGAATATATATAGATATATATTCTGCCAAGATAATTCATGTGAAACCAAACCACAAGCTCTTAGATTCTGATAATGACTAAAATCAAAACTCTTTCTAATACAACCACTATCTCTTATATTAAATAAAAATGAGATTATAAAAAGAAGTCATTGTAAAAACAACACTGCAGAGCCAAAAAGAATATTCCACTATTTTTACAGAAACACTGGTGTACTTTCTCTTGAAAATTTATATTTTAAAATAAAAGTTATGCTTTAGTAATGTGACACAATCATTGATAATTATATTACAAAATGGTTTCCACTGGAGTTTCCTTAAACCTTAAGCTTTCCTAAATCATTTTAAAATACGACTTAAACTAATTTACATGCGATATTTTTACCAATTAAATAGTAATATTTACATGTAAGCAAATGTGAGACAGTACACAATAATTCAGAAACATTAGAAAAATAATACTACCACACCCTAAAATTCAACAAAATCAGTAAGAACAGAAATATATAATATCAATCTAAAGAAATAAATGATCCCACTTTTGGGCATTTACCCAAATGTTTACAAACAAGACCACACTAAAGCTACCAGCACAACTATGTTTATTGCAGCATTATTTAC